ATAATTTAAAATTTAGATGGCTTTGACTTTGTCAATTCATGTTTGGTAGAGAAATGTCAGAGCTGTCAAAAATATTTCATAAATTTTATTTGTGTGTATTTAAATTGTGATTTCAAAAAGTTTGCAAGTTTGCAAGTGTAATAAATGACGGAGTGTTCGAGATTCATGAATTTAATTGCAATTAAAAATGCAAGAACATATCATAATTTTGTACCTCTTTCTTATAGAAAATATTTAAGTTCTGAGAAGTTTTAAATTGTTAAAAATAAGCAAAAACCAAAAAATATTCTAAATAAACCCCTTTATTATAACATGTTTTATTTTAACCAGTTACCTAAAAACTAAAATTTAAAGAAGTACCTATTTACAGATTGTGTAAATTTTTTCCAACACTAACATTTAAAATACATACATTTAACTTTTAACTATTTAGTGCCTTACTAAAGGGATCAAAATAATAGAACAAGACTAACTTGGTTTAAATTGTTAAAGAAACCGACAAAAAACTACTTAACGCATTTTTTATACGTTTAAATTAACTCTTTATTAATTTCACTTATTATACTTAACGATATAAACCATAAGGATCTTAAATATATTTTTTACATTCTTCTTCTTTAAACACCAATTAACCAATTAAATACTTCATTATAATGTATATAATATATAATCATATACATATATATATAAATATATGTGTCCCAAAAAAAAGAATATTTTTTTTCTTCTCGTCTCTTGTGAAAATCTGTTGGTTTGTCATGTTTTAAGAGCCCTGTCAAAAGATCAGCACCATTAAAAAATTTTAGGGGTCGCTCAAGATTTTTAAAAATTACCAAAATCGTCAAAAATTGGATTTTTTTTAATTTTAATTTTTTTTCTCGTTCCGATATTATTTTTTAATTTAAAAATAATAATGATTCTGAAAATTTCAAATCGATATTTTAATTTCTAAAGGTCGCTCAAGATTTTTTTAACTTTCAAAGTAGAGTATTTTGAATGTTTTCTAGCGACCTCTGAATATAAATATCAACAACTTTTAGCGACCTTTAGAAATCAAAATATTGATTTGAAATTTACAGAATTTTTATTATTTTCAACCTAAAAAGTAATATCGAGACGAGAAAAAGAATTAAAATAAAACAAAAATTCAATTTTTGACGATTTTGAAAATTTTTAAAAATCTTGAGCGACTACAAAATTTTTAATCGAGCTGATATTTTGAAAGGGCTCTTACAGCATGATAAATCAACATATTTTTACAAGAGACAAGAAAAAAAATATATTCTTTTTTTTTTTGGGACACCCTAATATATATATATATATATATATATATATGATTTTTCAATACATAAAATATAACATAACTACCAAAAATATCAAAAGTCTCAAAAATATTTCATAATTATTATTTGTGGTATTCCTTTGGTGATTTTAAAAAGTTTTATAACACAATATTACATATTATGATATATACAAAATTTACCAAAGAAATACGCACAAATAATATTTATGAAATATTTTTGACAGTTCTGACACTTCTCCACCAAACATGAAAGCCATCTAAATTTTAAATTATAAATAAAACTAACAATATCGCTACTAAACGGACATTAAAAAAATTAATATATCTTTTAAAGGAATAAAAATAACAAAACAAGACTAACTGGACTGAAAAGATAAAGGTGGGGACTACATTTCCTGAAAGTTTCAGATTTTTATTTTTTCCTCAACATAATGATTTCTGAGGGCAAAATTGGCTAATTTTGAGAATTATCAATTTTCAATAATTTTTTTAATAAAGAAATTGATAGTCTAGAAACTTAAAATAATAGTTACGTTTTCTATTGTATAAGTACTTTATACCTGAAAAAAATGAACCTTTTAAATTCAGTAGAATAGGCACAGGAGCCAGACAAAAATCACAAAAATTGGCAAATTATCATGAATCTTTAGTGGTTTACCATTCTTTTATGAGATTAACTAATTGGATAAAAATAATTTATATCGAAAACACACTTACTGGACAGTATAACAAAATTAAAATTATTTCAATATTTGTCACAGAAAAAAAGTTCTGGCCCACTATAAGAGAGTAAGAAATTGACACTATTTCAGACTTCTAAGGGGTGCCAAATAAAAGTAAAGCAACAAAAAATTAAAACGGCAACGGATTTTCATATTTGACACCTAAAAGATCATCCTCAAATTTTTTCATCAAAATAAAAAATCACGCAGCGCACCCCATTTGGTGTTTTTATTTGGAATGACTCATTATAGAACCAGATAAAAACACTCTAAAACACTATAGAACCAGATAGGGAAACCTATCTGGAAATACATATAGAACAGAAACCAGATAAATCCATATACATCCATATACATGTCTTTATAAAGACATGTATATGTATATGGAATTATCTGGTTTCTGTTCTATATGTATTTCCAGATAGGTTTCCCTATATGGTTGAATATGAAAATTTTTAAAATGGAAATCCATATTCAACCATATAGAATCCGTAATGTAAACCAGGACTTTCCATATAGGACCTATAAAACCATATAGAACCAGATACGTTTCCTTATCGGATTCAATATGGGTTCTATATGGCATTTTCAATAGGGTATTAATACATTTGGGGGAAGAATCAGACTAAGAGTCTGACCTGGGTCGGTCTGACGACGAGGACGACCACTAATTTAGTTCGTTTTTAATAATTTGTTTTTTTTGTGTTTTTATAATAAGTATATTATATATTGTATAACATATTATTATTATGTAATAAAAATGTAATAAACTTTGTTTGTTTCTCCAAGCACATTTAATCGAAATTTGCATAATTAGTTAATGTAGAAGATTATAACAATTATGTTATGTCTATCTTAATATAAACACTGTTTATTAATCAGCCCATAGCCAACCAACCATAGGGAGCCAACAATAAACGAGCGTTGGATTTTGCCTGGGCACGTATGAATATACATTAACGATGACGTCACATGACGTTGATGACGTGCCATGAATGTTTTTTATTTGTGCCTATTTATTACTGTATTAATGAAATAATAATTATGGTTTGGTAACTTTTTTTAAAATAAAGAAATAGGTACCTATTTAATTAAAAACTATAATTAAAATAAATAAATCTTCAAACGCAGGATCGGGCCAATGACGTCTCGGCCGTACCTACATACAAAACAATAAACTAGACATGCTATACGTTCGGCTTCCCGGTAGCTTGGTCTCATGATTTTAGAGCGGCGTTAAGTTAAAATCGTAAGTTATGACTTGATTCACAACAAAAGAGCTAGCAGCGGCCAGCCGCACGTCACGTGGCCCATGTTGTTACACGGTGTATTGTTAGTGGCACATACATTATAATCTTTAAATAAAAAACCTTTTTTATTCAAAGATTATAATATTTATTGGTGTTTAGTTCAACTTGCAAACTATAAAATTTGACAATCTTTTTAGAAAAAAATAAAAATCCCTCTCTTCCTGATTTTTGATGGTACGACCGGGCCGTACCTGCCGTTCCTGACCAGCCGCCACTGAACTTAAGATTATCGAATGCCCTGGTAAATTATGAATAGTCGCAACGATAAGTGCGTGTTAATTCTAATGTTTTGCTTCCGTCGGTACTCTTATTGCTGGCAGGTGGTAACAGCCATGTCATTTATCCACTTATCCGTATCCGTAATAATTTTGCACTGTTGTTACTTCACTTTTGATTTGAACTGTGTGTCTTTGCTATTCTTTATTTAAGTGGTTATGCCATACATTTTATGGAAGCGATTTGTTTTACGTCTACTCTGTGCGAGGGAACGAGCGATACTGCTTAAAGACCGGATTATATAATATATGGTGTAGTTATGTTTTTTGGGAAAATAAATACGATTTCCTAATTAGTTTGAAGGTACATCCTAGAGAACATCAGTTACACAATATGAATTCTGATATATTTTTTCTCTCACATTTGTAACCTCAAATTATAATTTTCTCTTTCTAACGAGAATTCAGAGAGCTCTGAATCTGTTACGGCTTCAGAGACAATGATAGGAAGCAAAACCCTAAAAATTAACCCCCCTGTAACTGAAATATTTTAAATTATCCAAAACTATTTTACACGAATAGGTTTTGACCGAAACCAATATCACACACCAAATTTCGTCGAAATCGAAGAGGGTCACGTCAAACATGCAACCTATTTGATGTTACATGACCCAGGTCTTTTATAAGTAAAAAAAGTTGTTCTTTATTAATCTCGATATTTTAATTAGTTTTTAATAAAAACTTTCTTAACAAAACACAATTTATGGAAACAGTAAGGTTTAATAAATTAGATAACTGTGGTAATTAACTTCTATACATTTTCTCAAAGCCATTTTCAAGTAACGTCCATATTTCTAATAAAAATTTCAGCATCCTGAATACATGCAAATAGTGCATCCCTTGTACTTATCTTCATAAACCACAAGTTTAGTAAAAATGTCTTCTAATAAATTTAAGCAATGCAAATATTGTTCGCCATTTAGTCTTTGCGGAAGTTCAAATGGACCAATTAAAATCTTTATTATCATTTAAGAGATATTGAACTTCTAGCTTACCCAGTAAATCATTTGGAATTAAATTGTGTAGTAATCTAGATATTGTTGATTCTACTCGTTGTCGTGCTTCAAAAAGTCCCAAGCGTCCAAAATTCGATTTCTGGATTATGATCGTAAAAGGGTAATTAAAAACTTTACTTATAAATAGAAATAATTTTTTGTGAATATTTTGCATGGAACAACGCTTTAAATATTTTCCGTACGTGCTGCACTGAATAAAAAGCACTTTTAAGCCTATATTAAATGTTTTATCATTATTTCCATGAAAACGATTAGACGTCGCACATTATTCATTTAAAGACAATGCAAGTCCAAAATATATCAACCTTATTATCTCATTTAGCTTATAATGTTCGAAACCATTGATTTTCTACTAAAAATTCAAAAATCTTTAGGTGGATATGATGGTTTAAACTTTCTTACAACTGTAGAAATTTATGATCCAGCAATGGAGACCTGGGAATATGGAGAACCTCTTACTTCTGGAAGATCGGGACATTCGAGTGCTGTTTGTTTTCAACCACCATGTAACTCAAAATGCCGAATTTTATCTGCAATTTCAAGCAGTAGTAGTGGTAGTTCTCCAAGATAATAACAAAGATGGATGAATGGATGAATGAAAAATGTGATAATAATGTGATTTTATAATTATGGAAATACTTAATAATAAAATCTAAAAATTAGGCATCATTCCCAAAAGAAAGTTTATGTCGCTTTAAATTTGTATTTTTTTTAAATATTTACACCTAAAATATGAATTCCAAAATTGATCAGGTTTTAGTTATTGTTAGTTATACATTATTAGCAATGTGTATAAATTGTAAATATATTTATAAAAAATAAATCATATAAAATAATAATATAAAATGTTTTTTTCTCTTACTTTTTACGAGGTACAGTTTTACAAATATTTTGACATTTAACACACAGAAATAATGATACTTTTAGAAATACATTCTTGTAAGAATAATTTAAGTGGATTTTTAAAAAAATATTTTTATTATCACCAAAAAAATTTATCCTGACTTGCATATAATAGTAATTCAACAAAATGAAAAACTAAATAACACGCTTTAACGCACTAAAAAGTACAAAATAATGTTATTTACTTTAAATATCTTGTGCTTTTAATAAACTTGTCACTTTTTAATGCTCAATGACTATGCCAAAAAGCGTGCGTTGGCATAGTTATGGATAATTAAGAACAGGCCCGTTCCTGGGGTGTCTGGCGCCTGCGTGCAGCATTCGTTGGTGCGCCCTTTTTATATTTAAATATAATACATTAAATATTAAAATAAGCCGTAAAATTTAAAAAATATATATTTTGCGACAAACTGGCAAAATGTAATTGAAAATGTAAAAAAAACGCTTATAAGCGTTTAATTAAATTAAGTATTAAAAATATTTATTAAATTACCAAACAAACAAGTTATATCATAAGGGCATCTATTTTTTCCGAAATAAATCGAAAAAACACGTTGCTAAGTAATATTTTAACAAGAAGCATGAGTGCTGGTGGCAACAAAAATCCAAATCGAACACGAGGATTTATGCACCTGCACGAATGCATTTTGTTAAAATATATTACTTAGCATTATGTTTTAACGATTTTTTTTACAGGAAAAGTTAGACGCCCGAATGGTATTTGACAAGACTATTTCATGAGTAACAGTTAACAATTAAAATATAAATTGCAATTTTTGGACAACAGCTGTCAAGTTTTGCCGCTGGTAAACTCGAAAAAACTGCTGGCAGGTGCTGTCATGAAGTTTTTCCACCTAGAAACCATTTGTAGTTCAAAATTGAGCGTTTGTGATTGGTGGAAATTAAGACGAGGGAAATAGTCAGTGATAAAAATACTCTAAAGAAAACAAAAAAAAATCAATCTAAACAATATAATAACTACAACTGGTTTTTAGTGACGTACTATCTAAAAATGACTAGTTTTCAAAGTAAAAAAGCAGTCAATAATAACTTTAGTCCACAGCAATTTGCATCCCGGGCATTTAACAGCTTATTATTATGTAAAATTGTCCCCTGAATCTGAAAATTCCGTCAAAAATTATAAAAGTAAAGCAATTTTTAAGATATAGTCAATACCATATTATATGGAAAATTTACTAAATCTCAAAAACGTTCAACTTTTATAACTTTTGACGAAATTTTCAGATTCAGCGGACAATTTTACATAGGATTGACTGCTAAATATCCGGGATACAAATTGCTATTGAAAATAATTATTAGTCGCTGCTTTTTACACTGAGAAAAAAATGGGACAAATAAACTGTTTACCTAATACTTTTATTTGTAGTGAATATATTGTTTATTACCTCTAAATAGTCGAAATAATAACGATAAATATACTTTAGTAAAACTTTATATGTCGGGAATAAAAATATATTTAGGATAAATAAACTGTACCCTTGTCCCATATTTAAATATTTTTTTTATTTGGGAGCAATAAACTTTTTTCTCCGTGTAGCTATTGCAATTAGACTAATTGAATTAGTCATTTTTGACTAATTCTATTTTAGAAAGTTACTACTGTTAAACTTTTCTACCGTCAACTGCAACTATCAAACAAATACTAAAGATAATATGACCATTTCTCTCCTTTTATTTTGATCCTCATATCAAAACAAAATAAGCAGCCAATATCAAAGCTGCAAAAGGCGTTTTATAGCGACCGAAAAAAAAAGCGGCCGACGCAAAAAAAAGGCAGAAAATTATCCAATGTATGTTTAAGTATCATATGCAAGAAAGTTTATCGTTACAAAGTACTGATTGACTCTTTGATTTTGCGCCCCTGAAATGTTGCGCCTGCGTGCGTGCACGCACTGCACGCTCGCCAGGAACGGGCCTGATTAAGAAGTGACAAGTTTATTAGTATATTGTGTAACAAGTATGACCTTTACAAGGCTAGCCCATGGTACAAGGTACAGTGGCGCAGAGGGAATTTTGAACGTCATAATTTGGTTGTCCATGTATAAATCTGTGAATAGCAAAGATACAATATTGAGCATTTTTGCTTTTGCTATCAAAATGATAAGACCACTGATAACCGGTAAGGTTAGTTGTTCATAAAGGAAGTTTAGATTTTGATGTCAACGGGATGATAGTCGTTTAAAATTATCCGCCATTCTACCATGGGCTAGCCGTAAACACATCTACTTTCTTGCCCCTTAAATTAAACTTTACCATACGCTAAAGAAGTATCGCTAGTAGCGCCACCACTCGGCTGTTATCATCGTAACAAAACTACAACTTTTAATAATCAGCTGTCAAACGCCCCTGGCGAAAATAAAGCCTGCAAGAAAAGTGTGCAATAAGTGTGTATTTGGAGTGCAAGTCTTTATAACAATGTGCATACACGCTACTTTGTGGTAATTTCACACTTTTTAAAATAATTAAGTTTTTTCACTCTTTATGTACCTTGACATCACGCTTTTTATTTGTCATATGTCACGCTTATATTACATTATATTTTAGCACATTGTTTGCACAGTCTATCTTACGCATGTCACATTTTATACACACTGTTAGCACGCTTTAATATTTCTAATTTATGACGCTTATATTATTTATTTATTTTTATAGCACATTGTTTGTACAGTTTTAGCGATCACTCAACAGTTTAAGCACATTTTAGATATATCTCGCTTGAGTTGGGGTACAACATTTATTTAAAAGGTGAGGTAGATTCCATCTTATGTATCGATTCTCGGCCTATTGCTAAGATAAAAGCAATCCCCTTCGTGGAGTTGACAGTGCAGGTATTTTTCTTAATAAAATACAGTATGTAGGACCTACATTGTGAGTATTTTTTTTTAAATTTATTTGATTAATATTATTATAAGGATATTTATATTACAATTATATGTAAATTTAAAAGACTTTATAGGTCACCAAAAAGAATCTGTTTTTGTAATAGGCACACAGGTGGCAAGAAACAGTGTGCAAACAATCTGAAAAATCAAAAGGAGTTCCCTTTAGAGCATTGTACAGTGATTATTCATTCACACTTTTAAATTTTTGGTTTTGCACATTGTTTCATGTTCCATTTCCCACCCTCCGCACATAATTTTTTTAAAAGATTGCACATTGTTGGCACATTGTTCTCAAATAATTTTGCACACTTTTTGCACATTTCATTTTCGCCAGGGGCTTATGGTACAAACGAGTGTTTTTGAGAATAAAGCCGGAAAATGTTAAAAAATATCGGAAAAAAACCGTGGTCGATTTGTTGTGTTGGGTGCATTTCGAGAGGAAATCCTGGGTTGAGTTTTTACCGGTTTTCCAATAAACAGTGTTAATCTGAATATAAAAATAAATTGCATATAGTATCTGTAAATATAAATTGTACCTATTAGATACAATAAATACACATTTTAGTAGTGATTAACGTGAAAAGTGTAAACATTTTAATTCAGTAAAAATCGTCAAACAAAAAAGTCGTCTAAATTTAAACAGCATTCCTATTGGTAAGTTCCAATGAAGTCAGCGGCTTAAATTGGAATATACCAGTTCATGCCTATGCTTGTCTCTATTGGCCAAATCTAATAGAAATGCACCTGGCATAAATTGGGAATTCATAGCGCCAAACCCATTGAAACCAATTTAAACCAATTTATTTTTTAAAATTTGGATTAAAAATACCAGTTGATTTTTCATTCGAAAATAATTAAGAATAACCGGGTAAAAACCAGAATTCATTTTCCACAGAAGAGACAAAAAAATTATTATAACTAAGTAACTTTATTTCTTTAATTATTTTTTTGTGTTAGTGTTATATGTATTGATAAATATAACTTATTAACACAAAAAAAAAATAATAAAAAATAAATAAAATTACTCGGTTATAATCATTTTTTTGTCTTTCTTGCAAAGGATAAACATATGTTTGTAGGTCGAAATCAATATTATTTATGTCATTTTTTTTTATTTTGTCCGCTGTAACCTCCATTCTCACGCCATCGTCCCTAAACCTTATACATATAAATTTATATGTTAACATTTTTTTAAGGTATAAGTACACAGCAAACGGAAAATTATAGAATTGTATAGGATGACTCCGCGTTTGAATATCAAATCTTAAAGTTTTATCATAACTGTATTGAATCGTGCTTTGTTTTTATATTTTTCGGCTCTATACCTATGCACGACTATATTTAAAGTCAAACTCAATGGTGTCTTACAAGATACAATATTTTGATTTTCTATATTCAACAGAGAGGTAGAAACTCGACCCTGTCGAATGGTGCAGTCATTTATGTCTCTAGAAATTATTAAAAAAGGGTTCAGTCCAATGGTGCAGCAACTTCGGATTCCTATTCTCTTCAGAGACATAGAAACTCAAGCTTTTCGAATTTTACTGGCAATGATTTTCGTTAATGTCCCCGAGAATTATACAAAAACAGCGCAATGCAATATCGCAACGGTTTCGACTTCTCTTTACTCTACCAAGTTATAGAAACTGGAGTCTCTCTAATACTGTTCTAGTCAATATTTCTGAGAGTATAAAAGAGGGTGTAATATTGCAAGAAGTTTTGATCTTTTGATGGATGCAAGTAGTTTGAATTTTCTCCTTTCTGCATATGATTTTGTTGAAAATAGTTCCTTTCTTTGGTTCCTTTGTCTGATTTTTATTTACCGTAACAACTCAGGTATGTAAAGCACAGATGATATGATGTTAAGTATATTTATGTATTATATAAAGTACCTATATTTGTATTAAAAATTTCAGAGGTTATGTTGAAAAAATGCAATGCAAAAAACAATTATCAACAAGTAATCAATGATAACAAATATATAAAT